TGGCTAACATCGCCGTCTCTCACACGGCAGCCGGGGGTTCGATTCCCCCTATCGGAGCTCAATCATTTCTTTTTCCTTTTTTCACCCAAGCAATGAGGTTGTGGGAAAAGCCTTGCTTTCCTTTTTCGTTTATTAATTCTTTTGCTCATTCCCCTAATTTAACAATATCTCTCCATTTCTGATTTCCCCCAAAAGGTCACTGCCGAGGATGTTCTTGGCTTGTCAGATACGCGGCGGGTTCCCCAAATTGGGGAACGACGGATTGATTGGTAAGATGATGTCAATTAAACCCTTGGCAACCCTCCTCTCAGCATCTATATCAGACAAGAGTCTCATCCGTACTCCAGTACTTGGCGTTGAGACACCAGTCAACATGGAATCCAAAACAATGAAAGCGATCCAAATACAAAAATTCAACGAGCCATACCATGTGTCCGAGGTTCCTGTCCCTCAACCAAAGCCACATCAAGTATTAGTACGCATCAAGGCTGCTGGCTTCTGCCATACCGATTTGATGGCTCTAAACGGTGAATTCGGAACCCGGTTACCGTTTATTGGATCGCATGAGCCGGCGGGGATAATTGAGGAAGTTGGCTCTCAGGTCACAGGTTTCCAGAAAGGCGACCGTGTCGGCTGCATCAATTTTGACAGTGTCTGTGGTAAGTACGGCTGGGGTTGGTAGGTGTCGCCGTCTAGTGGCAGCAATGTTAAGTCGGCCTTTATTGGGGTGTGATGTAGGGAAATGTCCGGATTGTAAGGCTGGTCGTCCTATCTATTGCGATGCCCCGATGATGAAGGGTATCACTGCTGATGGAGCGTGGGCCGAATACATGGTCGCGTGAGTAATGCTACTTTAATCCTTCGATAATAAGTATTCTCCAGTCTAAATCTACATGCAGGGATGCTCGATTTGTGGTGAAAATACCAGATGATATGGATTTCAAAGTGGCAGCACCTCTGATGTGCGCCGGGATCAGCATCTACGGTGGCATTGTCCGGGCCAATGTGCCCCAAGGCGGCTCTATTGGCATTGTCGGGATTGGAGGTCTAGGCCATATAGGTACCCAGGTTGCCAAGTGCATGGTAAGACAACCAATAAATTAAGACCAAGTCAAAGAGACACAGATGATAACGACCATGAACAGGGCTACAAGGTAGCGGCAGTCGATGTCAAGCAGTCAGCTCTGGATGCAGTGGCATCCTACGAGCACAAGCCTGACGTAACAATCCTGGCCACAAATCCAGTGGAAGAGTCCCAAGGGAAGATTAACAAGGCTGTAGCTGGCGACTATCCAGGCCTTGATGCGACCGTCCTAGCCACGGATCATCCGTCGGCCTTCGAATTAGCGGCTGCTCTTACACGGAAGCACGGTACGATGGTCCTGCTTGGTCAGCCCGAAAAGGGGATAACCATGTCATACCACACGGTCATCTACAAGGACATCACATTGGTAGGCTCCTTAATTGCCGACACAGCTGATGCGCAGGCGTTCATTCAGTTGTTCCACGAGAACAAGCTGCACGTGGAAGTCAAGGAGTGGAAGCTGGAGCAGGCAGAGCATATGAGGCAGGAGTACTTGACCGGAAAGTCGAATGGCAAGAATGTCATTGTTATCGACTGACTGGCTCCGGATTTCTAAGCTGAAGCTCGCTAGAAGATATTAGTTTGGACGCCGATTTTCTTCTGCGTCATAGTCGCCGTGGGGCCAAATATATTGGCTAGCAGGATGGCGTCGGATGTGAGGAAGTAGCAGATGCTTAAAATAGCCACTACTTTCATTTGTCGGGATAAGACTGATATCGTGAACTTTTCTGCCAATATCTTAGGATTAGTGTCCCAAAAGAATCAAAACGGATGGCTTGCATAGATTCCACGAAGACTCTTCTTCAGCGATCCCAATGATGGATGCAGCTGCGGCGAGAACCTGAGGTACAGTACGCTATTCTGCAGATGTGGTGCCTATACTCAATAATGCTCCCTAGCAACAAGGATCTGGCAAAACAGCCCCGTTCCTTAGGAAGAAGGGGTACTGCAATATGCCCCTGGACGGATGCTGCGCGCACTATTGACACGCTAATCGGCAGGAGCATCCGACTGGAAGCTCCAGAGTGGCAGCTACTTTGCCGCGGTGAACTTATATGCTACTAAGTATCTTAGACCCACAACTGATACAGTCCTCGATTCCTTGGTTATGCCCGATAGGACTTTTCCCTCTTCCTCAAGATGACAGGCAGAGTCCTTACTTCACATCGACCTAATGGTGTCACTGCATCAAAGATAGACACGCAACGCCTTGTTGAATAACTGATACAAAGTCATGCAATAAGTGCCATTGTTGTTCATTTGACATCGAATTCACAACCTTGGCTTTCTGTACAAAACCTCAGCTGCATCAATGTTGGAGCGGAATTTGCCGGGACTCTTGGTGAACCCATTTCTTTGCATATCTTAGCTATGACCACCTAGGGGCTTCAGCATTCAGACCATGAAGAACAAGAAAAGGCGCTAAGGCGATATTGTTGCTAAAAAAGGCTTTCATTAGCAGGGTTGGTGGAGGTGTGTGGTGTGCGAGAGGAGTCCAACGACGCCGGCAATATCGGCGGATCTTCTTGCTGGGGAAAACGGCCGAGTCCACTTTCCACACGAGGCCCAATTATTCCTCCTGTCAGCACCTTTCATTATGTCTGCATGACTCAATGGGCGTTGGTGAGTGGTCGATGCTGAGGGCTGGCTCGGTCGGAGCGCCGAAGAGAAAAAGTGGGTGGGAGTGGCACCCACTTTTAATTTGAAACACCACGGCCTTGGGTAAGATTGTCCAGGAACACCACCAGGGGCCCAGGACAGCCGGTTTAATCAACTACAGAACGATGAGTGTCGCACTACCCTGCTCAGGCTTGAGCTCGATTGGATTTTAGATGGAGCATCGCACTGGAGAAAAGCTGCTGTTCGCCTTCATATAAGAACGGTCGCGGAACCAGTTTCCTGCATTGCAATCCACGCTCTTTTCCCGACCGTTTCCATTGCACACCCAACAATCGCCGTCACTCTTTATAAGTACCTCATCATGGTCGCCTACTCGTCTCTTCTCCTCGCTCTTTCGGCTGCCTCGAGCGCCGTCGCTCTCCCCAACGGTAAGGCCCTGCTGGACATGGCCAAGCGCAGCCTTACTTCTTCCGCGGAAGGCGAGAGCAACGGCTACTTCTACTCTTTCTGGACCAACGGTGAGGGCGACGTGACCTACACCAACGGCGACGGTGGTGAATACACCGTTGAGTGGACCGATTGTGGTGACTTCGTGGCCGGCAAGGGTTGGAACCCTGGCAGTGCTCAGTAAGGACATCCCCATAGCTGTTCTGGGAACATAGGGTGTTAACCATTTATTCAGGGCCGTTACCTACAGCGGATCTTGGGAAACCGACGCCAACGCCTACCTGTCCGTCTACGGCTGGACCACCTCTCCCCTGGTCGAATTCTACATCGTCGACAAGTACGGTGACTACGACCCCTCCTCTGGCCTGACTGAGCTCGGCACCGTTGACAGCGACGACGGAACCTACAAGATCTACCAGACCACCCGTGAGGACGCCGACTCGATCGAGGGCACTGCTACCTTCAAGCAGTACTGGTCTGTGCGCACTGAGGGCCGTATCGGTGGAACTGTTACCACTCAGAACCACTTCGATGCCTGGGAGAACCTTGGTCTGGAGCTTGGTACCTTCAACTACATGATCGTCGCCACCGAAGGATACGAGAGCAGCGGGTCTGCCACTATCACTGTTGATACCTCTTCTGACAGCACTGAGGAGAGCTGCTAAACGCTCTTCTGAAGTGACTACTTTTGTCTTCTGTATATAATCAGTCCCGATCGGGTTTCACTTCTTGACCGAACTCATAATACCATTGTCACATCTGGTGCGGACACCTAGGCCGCAACATTGTTCTTCAACATTCACTTGCGTATCATCTTACCTGCTATAGGCATTAGGCGACACCTTCATTGCAGCGACAAGAACTGCCGAGGTGAGAGAGACACGAGAAGCAGCTTTATGTAATAGCGCTGAAGTTACTCCAAGCACGCTACTGTAAGGCTCTCTTGGCTTTCGGCAACACTGCTACTGTCATGGACGAACAGCAAGTGTCAAGCCGGACCGGAAAAAGAGAGTGGAGCGTCGTTGTAATTGCTTGAAGCCACGGAGCAGGTCCGAGAGCTATACCCTTATTATCTCGATATTTAGAGCTCAAGACCCCCAGGCTCCTTCGACTGGCGATTCTGAACATTGAGAGCCCGAAAGACTGACTGGCGCCATCGTTGACGGCCATCTTAAACAGGTAAACAAAAACACATCGTTCGAGGACAACACTAACATCACCGTAGCCAGCACAACTACCACTACGGTCTTTTACTATCTCTTTGCATGGCTTTATTGTAGCGACTCTACCCCTTAAAAAAGCCACTGCCATATTGAACAAAGCTACTACGAGGCCCCTGAATTCTGGTCCCTGCTGTTTCACTGATATTCAATCACCTCCAGCATACTCCCCGACCCATCCCTATTTTGCATATGTCATAACCATGGTTGATAGCTCTACTCCTTGAACTACCGATACCCTCCTCCGGTGGAGAGTCATGAACATCCAGCGGTGAACGCCATTCAAGCAACTCCGATTAGTCAGGGAACCCTTTTCCCACGGGGTACCCCGCAATTCGGCACGATGATCCCCCGACCACGCCTATCCATCAGGGCCAATCAAGACCCGGCCAGCCATCGGTAATGTCTGCCCAGCCGGACTAGACGTGCCCTGCTCGGGATAATCCACGGCGAGTTGCTGGCAGCTGGACTGCAGGAGCTCCCGTCGTGGCTTCGGGTGTATTAGACCGACTGTTGTCCAGCGAGATCCAAATGCTTAATTGAGCTTGTCCTGTCCTTTCTTTCATTCCCTTCCTGTCCAGTTCTATCCATCCGGGTATGTACTAGAGTCATCATCGACGACGGTCAAGATGCGTCTTTGGAAACATGACTTTCGGGGCAGGGCCCTGATCATTGCCATCACTATGGCCTCTTGCCAGGCCTTTCTCTTGCTGGGGTTTGACCAAGGTTGGTTGGTTTCTTCATGGTTTTCTGGATAGGGATTGATGGGGACTAACGATTTGGGGTTTGTAGGTGTCATGTCCGGCATTGTGGGCGCGGATAATCGCTTCGCCCGTGACTTCAACAACCCCGACGCGGCGATGCAGGGCAATATCACCGGTCTGTACGATATCGGCTGCGTGGTCGGGTCCATCATCTGCTACTTCATCGGCGAGAGAATGGGTCGACGAACCATGCTGATGATGGGCGGGTTCATCATGATCATCGGCACCGTCATCCTCGCTTCCTCCTACACAATAGCACAGCTGCTGGTCGGCCGAATCGTTACCGGGCTGGGTAATGGAATGAACTCTTCCACTGCCCCAGTCTATCAGAGTGAATGTTCGCCAGCAGCATACCGTGGTACTCTGCTCACCCTGCAGGGCACTGTCACTATCCTGGGCGTGGTGATCGCCTACTGGTGAGACTGTCCTATGCCGCCCCCCTAACCCCCCCCCACCACCTCCTTTACAAAGCCCAAATCTGACAGAGAGTCAATTTGTGTAGGATGGACTACGGCACCAGCTTTACTGATTCCTCCTACGAATGGCGCCTCCCCCTCGCTTTCCAGGCCGTCTTCGCCGTATGCCTCATTTTGCAGGTGGTCGGTCTCCCCGAAAGTCCTCGTTGGCTGGTCCAACACGACCGACACGATGAAGCCCGCGCTGTGGTTGCTGCCATCGAAGATACTACCATCGACGATGCAAATGTCGTCAAGACCATCATGGACATTCAATTCGTGCTGGAGGAGGAGCAAAAGGACGGTCCGTTCCGCGTCAAGGAGCTGTTCACCTGGGGCGAGGTACAGAACCTCCGACGTCTTTTTATCACCATCACCATTGAATTAGGGCAACAATTCACGGGAAGCAATATGATAAATTATTATGGTCCTGTCATGTTCCAAGAAACCATGAATATGAGTCGGAATTTGTCGCTTATCCTCGGCGGCGCTATGCAATGCACCTACCTGGTCGGCTCGGCAATCCCGGTGTTTCTGATGGACCGGTACGGCCGACGTACCCTGTTAATGGTATGCTCAGCGGGCTTGTGTCTGTGCTTTGTTATGGTATCGATTTTGCTTTCATTAGACCGTGAGGACTGTGCCTACGGAGCCACCGTCTTCATCTTCATCTTCCAGATCTTCTACGGCGTCGGCTGGCTACCCGTCCCGTGGTTCTACCCAGCCGAGCTGAACACGACGCGAGTACGGACGCGAATGCAGGCCATTGCGTCCGGATGGAACTGGATGGCCGTGTTTGCCGTGGTGAAGATCACTCCGATTGCATTTGGTAAGTTTTCGTGGCTTTTGACGAACTATCAGGAAAGTCATACTGACATATGATATGTGTAGACAACATCGGCTGGCGCACCTTTGTCATCTTCGCGGTGTTGAACGCCGTCTTCATCCCCATGGTGTACTTCTTCTACCCGGAGACCAAGGGTCTCGAGCTCGAGGATATCCCCTTGCTTTTCCACAAGGGTGGAATCACCGGAGGTGTGTTTACCTCGAAGGGTGGACGTACTGTTACACCGGGGCAGCATGCGCTGGAAGCTCGCGTTGACCAGAAGGTCGAGGGCACGGTGCAGCAAGTAGAGCATGCATAGAAGTATTATCTGTTTTATCTTTTGGGTTTCTAGATCTCGGTTTTATAATGTCGGACTACTTGTCTACAATGAACGAATGAATCATGTCATGTCATTATTTCTCGATATCATAGTCATGGTGATAGTCATACAATCGGCTAACTATCGCCGGATAGATAGATAGATAGATAGAAATAGAAAGCAAACGAAGGACATAAAGATCGGCACGAGCGATCGACACAGTAATACACCCATAAATAGAAAGAGAGAAAGAAACCCACTCACCAATTTTAAATAACAGACAGTCTGTTTCACCTTACCCAAATGAAGAACAGCTCACATCACACATTCTCAGTACGCAGTCATAACTCATATACCCATACCAATACCCCTCCATAACCCTATCAGACATTATGATCAACTCCCTGATATCACATCTCATCCAGCTTCGGCGGCTCTTCCTCCCCTAGATCCTTATCTAGATCCCGAGTAGTCGTCCGCTGCTGCTGGATATTGATATCGCCACGGTCGGCTTTGACCTGTTGGTTGTGCCTTAGCTAATTCTCATAACCCACTTTTATCTTACCTTGACGACGAAGGGTAGGGGGATGTGAACGCACCGAGGTCTCACTAGAGGTAGCATGGATCTCTTCCCAGTGGCCCATGTCCTTTTCTGGCTTTTTGACGAGACTGGGAGTATCCTCCAAGTTGTCTGGGTAGGAAGGGGGGATGAAGACTGAAATAATTAGTTCTTGTCTTTCTTTGATGGTGAAAAGAATAGAGGTAGATGTGGGTGGCAAACGTACACTCCTCACCCTTGGTGCTATGTACATCAGGCGGATGGTAGTAGCACACGCGGGCGGAATAGGCCGGACGAAGGACGACAGGACGACTGAGAGTGGAAGCTCGTCTGAGGATCATTGTTGATAGATTTTATTTGATTGATTGTCGATCAGTTAGTGAGTTAGTTAGAGTAGATGGATTCGTGATGGATGCGTAGGATGGCGTCTAGACTTAGAAGTAGTAGATTGATGGATGGATGGAAAGGACGGGAAGAAGTAGCGTGGGGATGGGATGGCAGGTAGGATTAATTGTGACAGACAGCAAGAGAGTTTGGGTCGTGATGTCAGAGCCACTTTTGACACTTGCTGGTTTTGAGTTTCAGGCGTGTGACAGGTCACGTTTCAGTTCCGTGCCTATCCTTTGGACTGACATCTCGCTTCGGCCGAATTTTGTGTCGATCGTTTTGTTTGTTGAACTTGCGTTATCTATTCCATCCAGTGTATACATCACCTCTCCCTGCCCTTCTGGTACCTTCGAAAGGCAAGATATTGAGTCAGGCTTAATCAATTAGATTAAGATTCATCTATCAACTGATTAAAGCTTATTTACCAAAAACCCTGGTCAATCTAATCAGGCCCGCTCCCCATCGTTCCCCCTTTTGAGGTTCGTGATGAGTCTCATTGGCGTTAATGGCGGAAGAATAAGGTGGCGGAGACAACAAAAAGGAAAAGGGAGGCGACTCCACTATCGTTGACTCGTATCGGACTGCGGGCCTGTCTTAAAAACTAGTGAGGACCTTAAAAGGGGTTCACGGGCTTTGCTCGAGTCCAAACTTGTCACTATTAGTAGTTCCTTCGGAGCTCAAGGCCATTTAGAGATAATCCCCTGTCTGGGATAAATGAAGGATGAGGATGCAGGTGACTGATCGGAGACCTTGATATGCTTTCTGCAATCCGGTGGGGTAGAGTTTGGGGTACTACATGCCTGCTTGGGCAATGCCCGATAACAGATGACGATGGCATAATTCAACAAATCGATCTGGTTGCTGGGAATTACCTAGCATGGTCTAGATAGATGAGGCTGTTAGTGGTCCCCCTATCTTTTGTTTTCTGGAAAGGACCACCAACCACCATCAACGGGCGCCATCCGCACAGAAAGTCGGTGTGTCGACCGGAAAAGACCAAGCACGCTTCTTCGTTATTCCGCTAGTTGATGTCTTTCCGTGGTTCCCAGCCTCCCCAATGAAATTACAGACCGAAAATGATGAGTGTCTTTCTGTCCTGCAGAAAGGTGCGCAGTCCGGTGTTCCAGGTCGTCTGAGGATCATGCAACCATCGCTTAATGCTCTCGCCTCGACGACTTGTCATTGAAATCTGCAATGCCCTGCCCGTCCATTTTTTTTGGTTGACGGCAAACTGGCGGGACGGCGCTCCACAATTCTCCATCGTGGACGGGCGAAGCGTAATCTCCCCATCAATTGCCGACCACGAACCAATCGAATACCGGTCCGGAAAATTTTTGACACACTAGGGCCATTTCAGGCATCAGCTGCGGGAATGCATCGAGCTTGTAGCATTGTGACGTGAGATGAGATTCGGCGGCCATCGTTGAGGGCTGATCAGCACAATTACAAGCATCGGCTAGAAGGTAGCTAGCTAAACCTTCATTGCGTTGATCGGCCGCCGCCAAGTCACTCATAGGTCTGACAGCTGTTATGGATGGAGACCGAGCAGGTCTCAGGTTGATGTCGACCCCCCAAGTCTCGGCTCGTGGGGATAGCAAGGACGGGGTGGAGTGGTCGATCAGTATTAAGGAGACCGCAGGGAGAAGGGGCGATTACTATTGAGCAATCGATGACAGACGAAGCGGAGCCGAAAATTCCTACTGATCACTTCAGCCGCCCCACTGATTCGCTGTCGTTATTTCCCAATTCATGGCCTGAGGGGTCGCAATCTGCAACATGTCAGGTTTTTTTTTTTAATCTGGCATGGCAGGGTATATACCTGTTCGACCGTGTGTTGGGGGGCCATTTTCTTTGGAAGAACATTTCAATGACTCCCCTGCCCACCTCCGCCGGTTTTCTTCTCTTCCTTCAGCTCCAGTGTCTTCACCCCAGCTTGCACCATGTCTGAACCTGGCTACCATGCAGAAAACCACCCAAGGCACGTCGATCGCAAAGCCCTGTACACCGATCTAGAGGCACGGATCGATTATTTGCAGAGATTCCTTGACTTTAACGCCGGTTGGTGCCCCCCCAGCGTCCCCGGTCTTCCCCACAAGGCTGTTTATGTTCATTCAATACTTTTCCGCGGAAGTTGATTCTCCGCGGCAACAATGCACCTAACTAACTTGGGGTGAATACAGACGATGTCGCAACTCTCGTCCGAGGCGCCAAATATGTCAAGGCCCTAGCTCCTACCGTGGTGGATAAGGTGTATGTGAAACTTCTAGAGTTTGACATCACGGCACGTGTCTTCCGCACTCGGAACACTGCGATAGAAGAAGAACCAGACGACTATCCTACCCTCAATAGCCCGGCAGTTCAGCGTCGCCGTCAATTTCTTCGCTGGTATATGACGAAACTATGTTCCGATCCAACCAAGCCTGAATTCTGGAGATACTTGAACCAAGTCGGGTATGCAAACCTCCAACTTGTATAGGCTCACGATACTAACCGGCTATGTTAGACGCATGCACTATGGGAAGGAACGGCTGCACTCGTTAAATGTCGAGTACATCCATATCGGCGCCTGCCTTGGCTTCATTCAAGACATCGTCATGGAAGCAGTTCTGACATACGAAAAGCTCACGCTGCCGTTCCGGATAGCGCTGGTCAGAGCGCTAGGCAAGGTGATATGGATTCAGAACGATCTCTTTGCGCGATGGCGTCTTCATGACGGGGAAGAGTTCGAAGAAGAGATTGAGTCTTCGCACAAGCAACAAGAAGCCGCTCCCCAAGTCACACCTAAGCCCAGCTCGACATATCTGCGGGCTGATGGATCATCTTGCGTCAAGACTTCGACAGCCAGCTCGACATCTTCTTCCGAATTTGCCAGCCTCTTTTCAGAAACGTCGTCGCTCGAGACCACTCCATCTCCACCCACCATTTCAGCCCCCACGCAATATGCGCAACGGTCGGCGTGTCCGTTCTCTAACGGCCCCAAGCAAGGCGTCGAGACTAAGGTCTGGTCTAGTGCGTGGAATTCCGGATCCGTCGGATCTGGAGGCACTCGGCGCTAGCCCGAGGGCGACACTTCTTTGCTAATATGATACGTGTAATGATAATATCTGTTGATCGGACGAGATAGATTGGGCGTGTGTTTCATTCTGTTTGTTATACCCACAAGGATCTGGCTTGCGGACAGTTAATCAAGAGCGGAATAAATGATTTTCAATGCATACAGTTGTGCAATTATTCGCATGGGGCGTTTTGAATGCCGTGCCTACTAGACCGGATAGGGATGACGTGAGCATCAGGGCGTTGAGACTAGGATTGGGGGCGGGGCCCGATGAATGATGATGGCAGCAGGTATGAGTAAACACTAATTGCTGACTCGACCCTTTAGAAGTGGACCCTGTCTGTGCTATTGTCGATGCAGCTGTGAGAATGAAGTCCGATGTTGTGGCTTTGCACCGGATTTAAGCCGAAGGAATGGATAGTGTCTGCAAGGTAAGTACAGTAGCCCCAAGCTAAGAGCTGCTCCGGCCGCGGCCGCCGAAACAGATTTTGATACACTTGGACTCAGACAATCCGCTTAAACTTGACGCCAAGGCGACCGCGGTAAAATTGAAAACACTGTTCTCGTCGCTGGGATAGGTTGCCGGCCTGGTTCGGAAAGCACTCTTGGGTGATCCCCTAATGATCCTCGGGTCGCTGTTGTAGCTGGAGAGCCATCATCTGCTCAGCCAGATGTTTGAGGATAGGCCTGGCATGCTGAGCTCTGCACCGCCGAATGGACGCAACTGGCTGCGACTAGCCAATGTCTCGCAGCACTTTACTCGATAATGTTTAGTGAGAGTATTTAGTCAGAAATCCGACCGTACTGAGTGCCTAGCGCTGGCTGTGGGAACTTTGAATATGCGAATCAATGCCTGTATGATGTGAGTGCTGAGAAATCATGACTGACGATACACCGACCGGAGTACCTGTTCTCATGGATGTGCTCGAGACGAGAAGTTGTCAAAATCATCCTCGGTATGAATTACACCGTGCAGGATTTTCAAAACGTAAATGATCCGCATTCCTGCATGTCATCCAACCTGTAAGAACCTAGCCAGGGAGGTTCTGCACTTTCCGTCCCTTGGCATACATCTGCCGGAGTGCCTCCTCTTCACCTGCCTGATGCTTGAACGAGGAAGGTGGACAAAAATCGCTCCAGGAACCCCAAAGCCATCTGTCCGGAGAATCATTGCTCATGGCATGGCTGCAGATATGTAGATGAGCAGCTTTACAATTGGTGATATACGATACGATGCCCGCGATGTTCGTCTGCGTGGCTGCTCGATCGCGATCAATCGATGCCGGAGCAAATCCGATCTCATATCCTGCTTGCTGTCTTCGAGCGTTGCTTGAAGCTTCGGCCTGGACAAATCACGTAGTACGCTGCCTCCGCATGGGCGCCGATCCTCCTTGCATCCCCTCCCAATAACCACGGCTTTTAGGCTCAATTCGCAAACGGCGCGGAAATAAAAACCCGTCACTGGGACTGCCAACAAGAATTGTGCTCGACCGCTGGCGGGTATCAAGAAAAGGGAGGTAAAGGGCCAAGATGGTGATTTTGTCAATTAGTGGTCTTGCCATTTTCGCAGGCTTGAGTCTTGCTACTTCAGCTGTACCTTCTCTCCAGAAGAATGGCACCACCTGCACCGTTATCCCTTTAGGAAACGGGCAGGATGACGTCCCCAACATCCTTTCGGCAGTTTACCAATGTGGTCAGACCTCTGGAGGAAGAATCGTCCTCCCCGCGCCGTATACCTACCGAATTAACCAGCGGATGACGACTCACCTGACTGATTCTCGACTTGAGATCGGTGGCACGCTTCTCTTCAGCGATAATATCGATTACTGGGTGAACAACTCCTATCGGGTGGACTTTCAGAACCAATCAAGTGCCTGGCGTATCACAGGCCATGACTATGTTGTGGATGGAGGTCCTCATCAAGGTGGAGTTGATGGGAATGGGCAGCTGTGGTACACTTGGGCCAAGGGAGGTAGCAATGTCTTTGGACGACCGATGCCAGTGCATGTGTTCCAATCGACGCGAGCAACTCTTCGTAACCTAGCGATCCGACAGCCCCAGTTCTGGGCCGTTCTTGTCGATTCCTCTTCGCATATCAACCTTGATAATTTTTACGTTAATGCCACAAACCATGACTTCTCGGTGAGCCCAGAGGGCGAGTGGGTGCAGAATACGGACGGGATCGATACGTACCGGTCCGACCATATTACCATCACCAACTGGATATACCAAGGCGGAGACGATGCAGTGGCTTTCAAGGGGAACTCTACGAACATCCATGTGGAGAATGTCACGGTTTACGGCGGGCCGGGTATCGCTTTTGGTTCGCTGGGACAATACCCCGACCGGACGGATATTGTGGAGAATGTGACGGTTCGGAATGTTCAAGTAAGCGAAGCCCAGGGATCATGGTGAGATTCGCATTGACAGGTATAGGTACAACCGTCCTTTCAAAGGGCGATGAATTCCGGGGTCTACTTCAAAAGCTGGTAGGTGCCACGTCCCCCAATGCGATAGGTAACTGATCAGTCAGGATTGGGGTCAACTATGGCGTTCCTCCAAATGGTGGTGGAGGCGGCCATGGATACGTGCGCAACGTGACAGTCGAGAACCTTCGACTGAAGGATGTCCAATTACCTGTGTATATTGACACCTGGTAAGAGTGATGCCACCGCATTTAGCATGCTCGCCTAACCCTGGAAGTCTGAGCTACCTCTTCAGCGAAAACATCACGCAGTACTGTGACACGTCGACGTATGAGTTCAATGATCTACATTTCAAGAATATTAGTGGAAATGGACTCGCAACGGTGACAGATTATCCGGGGAAGAACATCAGCTTCGCCGTGTCTTTGCTTTGTTCTGAAAAGGCACCGTGTACGGACCTCACTTTCCGGGACATCAACATCAAGCTTCCCGCGAACTATACTGGAGAAGATGTACTGTGCGAGAATGCAGAGGTGCAGGGACTCCGATGCAATTCATGAGCTGAAGAATGAGACACATCATGTCCAATAGGAGAAGTCAGTTACATGTCTCAAACAACCAGTTGTTCGCTTGCCATTTGTAAAAATGCTGGGATTAGTTTTCCACCTGTCGACATCTAACCAGCGAGCTACAAACGTTGCCCGTCATTGTTTGGCAATCTGGGGATGGGACCTCGCTCGCATCGAACCCCATTAGATAATCGTGGCGCAGGGGTGGTCCGGGGGTGTATAGTAGTTAGTATTCTTCCTTTGGTCCGTTAAAGTTGGATTCCAATAGTTCGGATGTTTCTGTACCCAATAAAAGCTTCTTGACTCCAATTAAGGTTTATATTATTAAGACTCATCTGCCGAGGCGTCTAAACTGGTCGATGGTTCCATAAAGCACCATGGACAAATGGGCCAAGACTGGATTGTAGGACGACCGGAGCGTCCAGACTGCTGCTATAGGATCCACAGCATCGTAGAGCCGCGGGCGTGCCCTTATAATTAACTTCGTAGTCATTTCTGATCAGGTATCCGTGCGAAACTGACTGGCAAGCCTAGAAGGGTCGTGCACGTCAGAGGCGGCCATTAAGGTTTCCGCAACCCGCATGAACCAAGCTTCCACTCGCAGCCCTCGGAGGCACCTCTCTCAGAATAAACCCTTCACGCCTGTCCAACTCTTCTCTCCCGTCTTCTCTGGATGACGCTTTGGCCTCGGTACTGCGCAGAAAAGTCTGGCAGGAATGGAGGTCTCGGCACAGTTGCAGCCACTCGGCCAGATTTAGAACTTCCGTTGGCACCTCTTCTCCTTTCATTCCTTTGTAGGCCTTATATGGTCGCTTTTGACACCAGCACCACGTTCGGTATGAGATTCTTTGGCCGATGCGACCGACATCGGGACTAGGATGTCGCAGGACGTCGGTATCGACGCAGATGGCGGCGATTTCTCATCGCTCACCTCTAAAGACCCGATCCAAAAATATGTCATCTCCGCCTTTGCGGCCATCACCTTCTACAATTCGATAGAGCTTGTGGTGCTTTGTTTCACAACTTTCAACCGATATCATGGGTGTTATTTCTGGAGTTTACTCGTCACCTCGGCGAGCCTCATCCCCCACTGCGTGGGATACCTGCTCTTTATCTTCTCGTCCATTTCTCCTTATGTGCCTGTGTCTTTGATTGTCCCTACCTGGATTAGCATAGTTACTGGTCACTCCCTCGTCCTTTGGTCGCGATTGCACCTCCTCGTACATTCGCAGAAGTTGCTGCAGGGCCTCTTGTACATGATTATCGTCGACTGCATCGTCCTCCAAATCCCAACAACAGTCCTGCTGTATGGATCACTATCAGGTACTCCCCACTTCGCCAGGGGTTACGACATCATGGAGCGGATTCAGCTTGTCATCTTTTGCGTCCAAGAGTTTATCTTATCCGGTATATATGTGTGGGAAACCATCAAGATGCTGCGCCTTCGTCCCGAGAGGCCACGGTTCATTATCCTCACTCAATTGCTTGTGATCAATGTACTCATCCTCATTCTGGACGTGGCAGTCGTCGCCATTGAGTACGCCGGATATTATGCGCTGCAGGTTATGTTTAAACCTGTCGCCTATAGCGTCAAGCTGAAGTTGGAATATGCTATCCTGGGCCGGCTGGTCCAGATTGCGCAAGGAGCCAGTTCCGATCCGGATCCATTATCCCCAGGCTCTCGCGGATTCAATATCACGGCATCTGGGTTTGACGATTCGGGCAGTAATAATGGAGGTGTCACAGTCGTCCGACAGGTAAACTCGGGACCGTTGGTCAGGCGATGGTCTGGACAGACACATGACAGCGTCGGTTATTGTTAGGAAGGTCCCAGCTCGATGTGTTGATCAAGTCGCTGACTCGCTGGGACCAGTTCGAAAACACCCCTCGGAAGTCCACAAGCCGATTTGTTGACTGGAACTAGTCACATGAGATGGTTTATGAAGGATGGACTCACGGCATCAACCATCGCAGCACTGGCAATGCCCGAGAATTGCTTCAATATATACACAGTCGCTTGACGCGGCGGTCCAACCCCAACCACGGACTTATACGGGACCCAACTTCTTATAACGTTGAGGTGAATGAATCACCACAATGGTACGCGAGATGCCTCCTTCTAGGCTTGCGAAGGGTCAGCGGAGTGATGGAACGCATATACGGCACAAACATATTTGGACGAAATGAAGTCACCCCCTCCAGAGGCCCATTATTTTGGAGTAGATACTTACCATAGAACACCATAGAATAAGAAAGAAGAAATTCTACCTCAAAACCTGTGAATGATGATCCCTTTTGAGCGCTTTGGTGTAGTAGTCACAGGACAGCTCAAGTATTTACACCTTTGTCTATCTGGATAGCAGGTGTGGGTGTCTCAACCTTTTCCCCAAACACGGCACTATTTCCCCAAGCCATTAGTCATGGATGCAGCCTTGGTGCCTGATAATGTTTATGAGGAAAGGTTGCAGCCTCCCAGCATATTGGGGGCTGTCCTTGCTTCGTCACGTTTTCCACTACTGCAACATCGTTCACATGGTAGTCATCTTTTCTTAAGACGGTGATTCATGCATAGCGTTTAGTCAGGGTTTCAAATCTAGTACTCTATCTTCCAATCATGGATGATAACATGCCTTCGCACCTCGCATCTTGTTCCTTGCTATTTGCTCGAGAATCTCTAATTGTGCCTCTAAAGCCATGTGTAGCCAGGTCCAAATTCAAACGTTACGGTGAAGCACTACAGCCTGCTGTACAAGTATGCCCAGATGGGGATTATTGGGGTAGGTGGAATAGGTATTGGAGGTCATTGTTAGACTTATTCTAAGTTTTGCAGATACCCCGCAATTACGATGGGTGGGTCCATTGTCTCTTGGGCTCATTCAAGGCTTTCATAGACAGGTGTCTAATATGCCACCTATACTAGCAGATTTATGCCAAGTTGACCTACTGCATGAAATTTCGATATATTTGGTGCTATGACTTTCCCAAACAATCAGCTCCTATTCTAGCCTTACAATGCTCTAACAAATTACGCCATTTGCACAATAGTGCATATGTAACTAAATGGCAGGGTTGACGACTCCTGGTAGCTAGCACGTTGGCCGGATGCGGCCCGTGGGGTAAATGCATAAATGACCCAATAACAGGCCTCTCAACCATATTTTGCTCTGTCAACTGGACTATGACGGCCTACGTAGGGTTTTATTACAAGCCACATTTCTTTGTCTCCGAGTCTCCAATGCCTCCAGACAAATAGCTATGGAATGAAACACAAATGAATCAAGGCCTCTGCGAATAAAAACGCAGACCCAGAGCCTGATGCATGGCGTAAGCACTATAGGAGATGATGTCTTAGTAACATCTGAATAATTGATACTTCATCTCCAACTCGTGTCGCCTGTCCAGTCCAGGATGGGCTCACGGTGCAAGCTCTTTCCAAGTTTCTACTGTATCTGGATTGCACGATTGCGGAAGTGCTTCCGCAAGCATGCTATATCTTCAACACATATCCCGCGGACAATTCTGACATTGCTTGAACCAGCCCAAGTCCAGCCAAATGAAATCTTTGTGTAACATCTCCGCTAGGAAGTTATGGCTCTAATGGCTCTGCATAGAGGTGGTTTGACTTCCTATCTCGGGTACTCGGAGGTGAAGGGCTATGTCTGTGTATAACCACAAGGTCATTGACAGCCTAATGCGGGCTTTCGCTTCATTATCTGGCTCATGTCTACAAAATGAAGAACGTCATTCAAAGAGTGATGATGGGTTGATACTTTCGCTCTCTCACCGTCTAAGCACGTAATGCAGGTTCTAGACGCGTCCCCTATACGATTCAAGACGCATCGAGCTCCATCTGAGTTGGGCTGGGGGTATTCTTACGCAGATGGGCATTAGGCCTACCACAAGACAAAGTTATTGTTGGAGAGTCTTGACGCAAGATGATACCTACACTTCTTACATTGCCTCCAACTTCTGTAGTAGGGCCTGCTCAAAATCAACCCCACCGAGACATATATATAGGGGGGCAAGTTCTCCTGTGGATTGCACTTCTTCGTCTTTTTAGATCTCATATTGATCAAGTCTCTACGTTATTATATCTCATTACAAACCAATCAACCTCGAAATCTTCTTGTGGTGCCCAGCATCGACATTAAACACCATGTCTACCTTAGGCTTGCATAAAGATGGTCCCTTTGGTGGGGCGGGCGGCAGTGCCTACGATGCCAGAGATGGCGAACAGAAAGTCAAGCATGTTGATTTATGGACCGCAGACTACAACGGCTACGATGTTATTGGAGCGTTCAATCTAGAATTCCAAGACGGTTATTCGACCGGTAGAATCGGCGGAAGGGATAACGCCGTCCCACTTTACGGTCCATATCCCTATGATTTTGCAGATGATGAAACAATAACAGAGATGGTTGTCAATGCTGGTAACGGTGAAGGCTACGTCAACGGAATCAGATTCTCAACAACTCGACAAAAGGATGCTTACAATGTTGGTGGTCATGAGGGTCATGATTTTGTATTGGATGGGGATGATCTTGGTGCGAATGGCGAATGGGCCGGGGCTACAGGCGGAGACGACATACACGGCGCTGATGCCGTTGTGGACAGCATGTGTCTTTACTTTAAGGAGTGATATTGGGACTTGATTTACTATTACTCGGTTCGCCTCAGCTGCAGATTCAAAAAGGGCCGTGGACCAATTATTGTTCTTTGAAATTGCGGGCTTTGTTTCATGCGCCAACTAAAAATATGGTGGGACTCATGCTCATGCCATCTTAATCATTCATGTTTAAGGGGTGTTAATTAGTTGACTTCATCGCACAAGATGCCTTGGTATGGGTTTTTGCCGGAGTCATCCGTTTTCCCCATACTGTCGTGCGAATGCAGAGGCAACTGAGATAGTATAATAATGTAATAATCGTTGCTCTAATATAATACATCTTATACTTCCTCATATTTCTCTTCGACATGTTTTATTCACAATAACTGTAAAAAAAAAATGGAATTCTAAAGCTCTTCAATTATTGTAGCGAGCTTCAAAATATCTGAATGGACACAATATGCGTCCTACACAGGAGCAGATATTGAAAAAAGCAAAAGGTTATGACAAGAGTGGGATTCGAACCCACGCCCCTTTCGAGACTAGGAATGCTCCGAAGAACATGGAAGATCAGATACACCTGACCCTAGCGCCTTAGACCGCTCGGCCATCTTGCCCGTTTTGTTATAGGTTGCTTAATATCTTAGCAATATCAATGCCGTAGACAAGCTTTGGGAAATGAGTCGGTCTCCATCTTCTACGATATTTCGCTTTACGCTGAGCTTGCAACCTTTGGAGGACACTACTGAGGTAACACCACTCTGGAATTTAGGTAAATCGCTTTTATAAAATAGTAAAGATTTTGAGTGAGGAAGTCTAGAATCCCGCGAAAGATATATGTGTGTGGGAGCTTTCCCATTCTATATATTTTCCGCCATTGCATGAATTTATACCTCAAGCCCACTTCATTACTATCTGATTATGACTATTAATAGATACTCCCCGCAACTGCAACCCAAACAGTTCAGACGCCCTCGCCCTTCTTCCGCGGATACTGCCAGGTCCAATTCCGAATATAATCCGGATCAATGCCATCATCGTATGCTTTCTGCTTCGCCAGCAACTGCATATTCAGGAATTTCTCCCTCACCCCGGACGCCGTATTGCCCAGTCCGCGGGCATGATCGATCGCATCGACAGCCAAACTATACCGATCGGTCTGATTCCTCACCGCCAGCTCAAACGGCGTATCAATATTCCCCTTCTCCTTGTATCCCCTGACATGGATGTTCTCCTGACCGGGTCTCTTGTACGTCAACCGATGGATAAGCCACGGGTACGAATGGAAGTTAAACACGATCGGCCTATCGGCTGTGAAAATAGCCTTCCATTCCCGATCGGACATTCCGTGCGGGTGATGGATCTTGGACATAAGTTTGAACAGATCGACCACGTTGACGAAGCGCACTTTCAGCTGGGGGAGGTGCTCGCGCAGCAGCGCCGTGGCGGCTAGTGCCTCGTGGGTGGGAACGTCGCCGCATGCGGCCATCACGACGTCTGGTTCCGCACCTTGGTCGTTACTGGCCCAGTCCCAGATCCCGACGCCCTTGGTGCAGTGGGCGATTGCGGCGTCCATGTCCATGAATTGGATGTGGTCTTGTTTGTCGGCGACAATGACGTTGACGTAGTTGGCGCTGCGGAAGCAGTGGTCCATTACGGAGAGGAGGGAGTTCCCGTCCGGCGGCAGATAGATGCGTACGACTTCGGGAGACTTGTTGGCCACGACGTCCAGGAAGCCTGGGTCTTGGTGCGTGAAGCCGTTGTGGTCTTGGCGCCAGACGGTCGCGGTGAGGAGGATGTTCAGCGAGGCGACTTTGGCGCGCCATTCAACTTCCAGACATTTTTCGATCCATTTGCAGTGTTGGTTCACCATTGAGTCGATGATGTGGATGAAGGGCTCGTAGCTGTTAAGGAGCCCATGACGGCCTGAGAGGACGTATCCTTCTAGCCAACCTTCACAGGTGTGTTCACTGAGCATTTCCATTACTCGACCGGCCATGGAGAGGTTTCCACCGTTGGAATCTTCAGGGAAGTATTCGGCCAACCAGACCTTCTTTCCAGCTTTGTAGATCTCAGAGAGTTTGTTCGATTCAGTTTCGTCCGGCCCGAAGACACGGAAATTGGTTTGATTGAAGGCGACCACATCACGGAGGTAGTGTGACATGTTGACCATGCTGCCGCGGATGGTGGCTCCCGGATCGATGGATGTGAGTGCGTACTTGCGGAAGTCGGGGAGGTCCAACGGTCGCCGTAGGAGCCCACCGTTACCCACCGGATTGGCGCTCATACGATAGTTACCGGTTGGAGCGAGGGCCTTGAGTTCAGAGATCAGACGACCTTCTCGAGTGAAGAGCTCCTCGGGCTTGTAGCTCTTCATCCACGATTCGAGAAGCTGGAGATGCGAAGGATTGGTGAGGACGTCGGTGATGGGAATTTGGTGGGCACGCCAGAAGCCCTCGAGAAGTTTGCCATCAACTTCGCGCGGGGCGGACCAACCCTTTGGGCTGCGCAGAATGATCATGGGCCAGTGTGGGCGGAAGGGCTCCTTGGACTCGCGGGCTTTCTTCTGAAATTTTCTGATTTCAAGAACACAATGCTCGAGCGTAGCTGCCATAGCTTGATGCATGGTTTCGCGATCGCTACCTTCCACAAAGTAGGGGGTCCAGCCGTAACCCTTCATGAGAGCAGAAAGCTCATCATGGGAGATACGTGCGAGGAGTGTCGGATTGTTGATCTTGTACCCGTTGAGATGGAGCACGGGCAAAACGGCTCCGTCGGTGCAGGGATTGAGGTACTTGGTGCTGTGCCAGCTTGTAGCGAGTGGCCCGGTCTCGGCCTCGCCATCACCCACCATGGTCAGGGTGATGAGATTGGGATGATCGAATACGGTGCCAAAGGCATGCGAAATGGAATACCCCAGCTCGCCACCTTCGTGAAGACTACCGGGGGTTTCTGGGGTAGCGTGGCTGCCGATACCCCCGGGGAAAGAGAATTGCTTGAAGAACCTTTGCATTCCTCGCTCGTCTTCTGACTTGTCCGGGTAGACTTCAGAGTACACTCCCTCCAGATATGATTGTGAGAGAATACCAGGGGCACCGTGACCCGGGCCTGAGATGAAGAGAACGTCCAGATCATACTTCTTGATCAGCCGGTTCATGTGAATCCAGGTAAATGATTGTCCTGCGTCTGAGCCCCAGTGACCGAGTAGGCGTGCCTTTAGATGCTCCACCTTCAATGGCTGTTTGAGGAGCACATTGTCGCGCAGGTAGAGCATACCCAAGCATAGGTACATGCTGGCGCGAAAGTAGGCGTCCATCTTCCGGACTTCCTCAGGGTCAAGGTTCTGGCCCTTGACCGTGGAGCGAGCAGCTCCATAAGCGGAGATGCTCTGATCGTTTGAATCCGATGGCATGTTGTATTAGTTTTACGCTTGGTAAAGTACCCTTAGTTGAGATGAGATCTGTGATGCCGGTCAGCTCCTATTTAAGCCGGATATGTGGGTGGCTGGAACTGGCCAGTGTTGATGTGGGCTGACATCCCAATGGTCTCTATGCTCGTAATTCCCGGATAGCATCCTGGTAAAGGCCATGTAGTAGCCAGTCCATGACGCTGGCTTCCGTCACCCTCCGCGCCTGCTGCGTCACTGGATGAGATGATGTATGTTAATTGGTTCGGATGGTCTCTACCGGAGTTGTGGTACGCTAGTCCTGTTCCGGGGCTGACATTTCTCCCCGGGCCCTTGGTGTGGGCCGACACCTTATGTTATGGGCTGATGTTCAGCTTCTTATCCCGGAGTTTGGCGGTAGGTGCTGAAGTACAGGTTGGAAGGACTTTGGATGCGACAAGCCAGTCCTCCTTTCACTCGTGTTCTTTAGTAGCTCATAAAGCACGCTTACATTATTATCTTTGGGCAGGCCAAGTCGGACGTCAACTGACGGTGAATGCTATGATAGCAACATGGATTACAACTCACGAAGTATCTACAAGCCGGGGTTTCTCAAGCAATGAACAAAAGTTGATGCTATAAAGGAACAGCACAGCCAAATTACCAAAGTCGTATCAACATCAGAGAAAGTACATGGTTAGCCCAATACTTCTTCTCCGCTACCTCGCCATGTACCACTTTCACCATTCTCAATACTCAAAAGCTTCGCCAACAATATCTTCAGTCAGCTTCCACAGTCGTTCTGCCTCGATCAGATCCCGGGCCCAGCTGCGGACCTCCTCCGGCTTGACCACTGCACAGTCCTGAACAAAACTACCATTATTCTCTGCCACACTTGATTAGCTTAAAGGAATGACCGGCACATAGAGAATACTTGCCACTGGCGGAGATAGATGGATGAAATGCGGCAAATACATGCGTCGCCACACCTTGCGACATAGACTTCCAGGTTATCTCTCTTTGCCCACCCCGGAAGTACCCGAGCACTGTGAACCATTTCGCTTGAATAATGTCAGCAGGCCCTCGCACAAAAGAATACATAAGGGACCTTACCGAGTGATTCAAACATCTCATTCCAGTCTCCTCGAGCCAGATTAGTGTTGATTGTTCCAGGGTGTAAGCTGACGGAAACAAGACCTTTACTCCCCAGCTTCTGCGCCAGAGAGACAGAGAAGAGCATATTGGCTGACTTGCTTTGGCCGTAGGCCAGCCAGGGGTCATAGTTTCTACCTTCCTAATACTAGCCATCAGCTCCTTGAACCAGAATTGGGTACCATAACATAGATACTCACGTCGAAGTTCCAATCATGAAATCTGACTGGGCTCAACAGGTGGCCATTGCTAGACACGTTCACAATCCGGCAAGACTTTCCAGGGATCACTAGCTTTTCCATGATTAGATTGGTGAACAGAAAATGCCCGACGTGATTGGTGGCAAATTGACTCTCGATCCCATCATCCGTTAGCGAGAACGGTGATGCCATGACACCAGCGTTGTTGACCAAGACATCTATATCCTCCTTGTATGTCAGAACTTCCTTAGCGGCGATTCGGACTTGGGCTTGAGAGCGCAGATCTAGTTCAAGGA